ATATACTAGGAGGGCATGGTCAGCTACAAACATTTATTTATTTATTTCAAATGGCAGGCGTTTTGATGGTTATTATTAGCCCTTTAGTTGGCTTCAGGCTTTTCAGAGGGGAAGGAAAGTCGAAGTGAGAAAAATTCGAGAGAGGGAGCAGAAGAGTGTTTCAAAGATGTAAAAGAGACAGACACAAAGGTTGAAAAAAGGTGAGGTGAGTACTGTGAAAGTAGTCGAATATGACATACAGTGGGGTGATGGTATTTTGAAGTCAGAAGTCAACTGCCAGTTCATAGACATTTTTGCCGTATGAGTATACGTTGCCCATTGTGCACCACGTGGAGGTAAGTCTATCACGCACCCCCAGCTACAAACATGGAATATCCTCATGAAACTGATCTACGACTTTGCCCGATGTACATATTATTTCATCCTTTGAAGATGCCACTGACGTCAGTCAGTAGTAAATTTAGGAAATGCTTAAAGTGGGATGATCAAATAAGAGAGAGGAAGAGAGTTCCTTAATTTGCTTGATTTCTACCCTCGGGTTGTACAATGTTCGCTGCGTGTTCTGAAATTCAACTTTTATGGCCTGTTCCCTGGAGTGGAGCAGATGGCTGTCTACGATGCTCAATTTTTATTGATCAATTTGGAAATAAGAAAACCCGGTCTGAGCACTTAAATGCTTTATTTTCTTTTAACTGTTGAGCAAGGTAAATGATCTCACATGATTATCAGTAGTACATCAACTTAACATAGCAGAGCTCCGTAAGTTGTGTTTACGCAATTGATTGAATTTAATGACTCAGCATGCTGGTGATTTGGCCGGAACACAAATTGCAGTAAACATTATTCACCATCTGTCCTCGCTACCGTTGAGGCGACTTAATCAATTTCGCATTTTGCTAGAGTTTATTGCTGAAGTTTAGTTGATGCTTATTTGTATGATGAAGCGGGAGAGAGCTACCATATTTCACCTACAGCTCACTTTTTTTCTAGAGCACAAATTATATCGCTAGCTATACTTTAGCATATCAGTGGTGATTGAATCTGCTAACGAAATTGAAATGAGAGGCATTGACCGGTCTTAATTCCCAAAGATGATCTATCATTTAAGTGGATGGCTATTGTAACAATAAGGCTATTAGAGAATTGCTCCGATGACTATCACATTAGTGGAATAAGCTTAAACCAAAGAAAGCAGGTGATGCATTGACTCTGATTAACAGACGAAGTTGTCCTCTTCTGATTCCCTCCAATTGATTAATGCCGCCCTCCTATCCCAACTCTTGACTACGAAAAACAATAATAAATGCGCATGAAAACTTTGATTTTGACCACTGCCTCTTTGACTCACCCACCACCCTCTGACGCTGCCCCAGTAACCCCTTCTTACACCAACTATAACAGAAGCAAGCTAGACGCCCAAGCAATCACGCTTCATCACCCTCGTAGAAATCATTGCCACCGAAGCATATTGACATTTCAAAAAGATCTATGCCACCACTACAACCCTCTCAGAGTTCACCCTTTGAGTCCCATCCCACCACATCAAACCAAAATTTAAGACAAAGTCCAACTGCATCCAAGACCGCTGCAAGGTGTAAAAGCGCAAGCAGGGCCATCTACAACACCACCACCACCGAGCTCACCACTTAGGCCCAACAGAATTGAAAAGGCACAAGTACTTTGAGATAATGGTCTGGATTTCACTAACAATCACAAGATATGTATAATACAAACTTTAATAGAAGTGCTTATCCACACCCGCACACACACTCACACAGACAGATAAGTAGTAGTAGTAGTAGTAGAGAGACGGTTGCCATCAATAGTGTCAGGGAAGGAGGGAGACAAAAATATTTGTACAGATAAAAATAAACACATGATCCATTCGCTAACGCATATGCTTATAGTCGAGAGGTAAGTAAGGATTTATGCGCATAGAGGGGCGGGGCGGGGCGGGGCGAAGGGAGGGGGGAGATGAATATTTTTGCTCATTCATTGCTCGTGAGAGCCATCATTCCAATCAGTAATATGAGAAAAACCATGACCAGATTCATACTGTTGGTACATTCGATCGTAGAGTCTCTCCAAGTCTGCTGTGTAGCGTCTACAATTGAAGAGTGGAGAAGTTTCCTTCAATTTCCAAACTTTCGCTCGAATGGCATGAAGATATTCTCTATTGTTACCCAACTTTGCTGCAATTCGGACATAATCTTGTTGCGACTTTGCGACGAGTTCCGAACATCCGAGACAGTGAAGTTGACTGGCTGCAACCCTACTGGCAAGAGTTTCAAGCGGAAGAGTGACAACCGGACAGCCAGCCCAAAGAACATCCATTCCAGTTGTATGTCCATTGCAGAGGGGAGTATCCAAACAGACATCTGCAACTTGACCCCGTCGAACATGCTCCTCCTTCGGTGCAACATTGCTAAAAATAATCCTTCTCTGAGGATTTTGAAGACCTAATTCTGACGCCGCAGCAATAATATTAGCCTCACCAGCTGCTGGAAAACGTAGAAGCCAGAGAACGGAGTTGGGAACGTGCCTGAGAATCTCTACCCACATTTTCATGGTCGAAGGATCAATTTTGTAGAGCTGGTTGAAGTTGCAGTACACAACAGCATCATCAGGAAGAAGATAATGCTGTCGAGCTGTGACGATAATGTTCGTAGGGATCTCTTCACCGGCTGAAGCACGAGACTGTGTTTGCTGCGTGGTAAAACCATTTTGTAAAACGACCCCATTCAAATTACAAGAGGACGCATTCAAACGTATCATTTCACGGACAACGTGAAGTGAAGGGACAGTAAGGACTTGAATCTTAATAAACCAGGGTGTCTCTTTGCCGTTCTTATCAATGATACAACCACCGTAAATCAGTTCCCGTAGTGAACCAATGGAGAGTAGAGCCTTGACGTCTGTTCCACAAACGACAATAGAATTATCAGTTGTTCGTTTGCCCGCAGCGACTTCTTCAGCACTTTCAATGATGATACGATTGCGCATATGAGGGAACATTTGGGCATGATCGCCGATGAAAAACGTTTTGGGCATGTAGGCCAATTTCTCAGAGTACTGCTCAGATAAAGACAACGGGGAAGTGACGCTGTCTGTAATGATAAAATCCATGAAATTGGACCCACTTGTACCTGGATACCCCAACCACATTGCTTGAACAGGAGCCGGTCTTAGAGCGAAGATCTCATTTCTAGCACCTTTGGTGTAGCCATTCATGTTTAATAGAATATGTATACCATCCGCGGCAATTCTATCAGCGGCTTTACCATGACAACCGATCGTACTCAAATCGACAAAGTGCTCTGCTTCGCGATTTACCTTTGCTCTAAAAGTTGTTCCATCATCTGGGGAGAGAGAATAGCAGAAGATTTCAAACCTTGAACGATCATGGAAACCAGGAACGCTTTGCATGAGATGGCTAGTTGGATGATTGCAGAAATCAGAGCTGACATAACCTATTCGAAGTCGCTGATTAGGCTGACGCTTGGAGAAACGATAAGGTGGATGGTGGAGAATGCTAATCTTATCTAAGCACAACGAGGCATGTTTGCCGGCAATTCTTTTCCTCTGTACATGAGAAAGAGGGTACAGCATTGTATGGTGAGGGTGAACCGAGGGAAGCCGGTTCGAATCCAACTGTTCTTGAACAAGGCCAACGAGTCTCTTCATTCTCTCCTTGTAATCACTCCAATCACAAACAATCTGCATACAGTGTGCCAGATTGCAGAACGCATCCGGAAAGTTTGGTTTGAGCTTCAGGGCAGTTTTGTAGGAGTTTATAGCCTCTGCCAGATTCCCACTATCTTTCATGATGCTGGCCAGATTTGAATGGGCATCTGCGAAGGCCGGGTTGATTTGAATTGCCCGTTGATAGCATTGCATAGCACCGGATAAATCTTGCAACTCCTTGAGAGTATTACCCATATTCGAGTAGGCATCTGCGAAGGTGGGTGATATTCGAATGGCCTCACGGTAGTGCCTGAGAGCTTCCTGCAGTTTACCTTGAAGCTGAAGCATACTTGCTAAATTGGAGTGAGCAACAGCAAATTCCGGGTAGATTTCAAGGGCCCTTAGGTAAAGTCGAATAGCCTCCTCTGAACGACCTTGTTCGCGCTTAATGTTGGCGAGATTGTTGAGAGAATCCGCATGAGAGGGGAACAAAGCGAGAGCAGTGTTGTAGAATTCTTCAGCCTCTGCCACCTTGCCTTTCTCTTTTAGAGCATTTGCTAGATTGCAATAGGCATCTGGGAAGTTTGGCTGAAGTTCAATTGCTCGTTTGTAGGTATCAATGGCAAGATCGATGAGATTTTGCTCGTAGTAAACACAGGCAAGATTACCGTGAACCACAGCATGATTAGGAGCCAACGCAAGAGCCCTTAAATAAGCGGCAACAGCTCGATCAAATATTCTCGCTTCCTTGAGCACATTGCCCAAATTGATATAGGCATCCAAAAAGTTGGGATCAAGTGTGACCGCCTATTTGAATATAAGAAAAATGAAGTCAATGTGTTTCCTTACCTTTTCAAAATGATGAATAGCAAGCCATATTTCATTCTGTGTATTAAACACGCATCCCAAATTGCTCCAGGCAACGGCAAAGGTTGGGCATGTTTCGATGGCCTTCAGGTAACAGGACTAAAAGGAAAAGTAGGGAAGTAGGTAAAAAATTAAAAACCGGTTATGAGCACAGAGGGCACGCGAAAAAGGCATGCCCAGTGGCCTGAGCGCACTGTGTCCTCCACGATTCCACACAAAACTTAGAAGGGACTCATAGAGAACACACGCAGTAGAGAAGGGAGAATGTTTGTGTGTATGTCTGTATGTTGATGGATGATGTAGATCCCGCTTAAGCGAAAGCGGGCCTACGCGCGCGGCAAACTCACGACTTTAAAGCTTCATACAAACTTCTGCGCGATCAACACCGAATGTAGACCTCAATTCTCACCTCTGCTGTTTAAACGGAGAAAATTCTGAAGAATTAGTGCCGAGATTATCTGAAATGGCAAGGCTAGAAATTCCTAATCCTTGACTGGTGGTAGGGTTAATGCGCGCAAAAGGCACTGTACCGACTAGGCAAGTGCCGCAAACCAGTCAAGCGCGTGAGCCGCTGCGCAGACCATAGATAATAGAACTTACTTTGGCTTCATCTAAACGACCAAGAGCCTTCAGAAGATTGCCCAAATCACTGCGTACGCAGTATAATTCCTATATAATGGGAATAAGGCCTACTGATATTAACGTACTGGATTATAATTAAGAGCGGCGGCGTAGGCATTAACGGCCGACTCAGTGTCACCAATGGCTACCAATGCAGCTGCTAAGTTGATGTAACCATCAATAAAGTCGGGCTTGATGCTCAAGGCATGTCTATATTGTTCAATAGCTTCCGTGAGTTGACCTCTTTCTTTGTAAACGTTTCCCAAATTGGAATATGCCTCGGCCATCAAGGGGTTTAACCTAATGGCTTGCTGACTATACTTTGCAGACATATCCAAGCGACGACATTGAAAATGAATTGAGCTGAGAAGCAAGAGGGTTGATGTGTTTTTTGGGTCTTGGTTGTAGAGCTCCATACAATGATGTTCAGCCATTTCGTAGTTGCCAGCCTGATATTCCCTGTGAGCTAGATCTGCTAAGGTTAAGAAGTTATATCGATCATTTGCAGTCATCGGTCGAACTTGAGATTCGGTAAACGGAGTCAGGGCGTGCCGATCCAACATCGGGAGATTATCGTAATGTAACCTTTAGATATTGAACGTAATGCTTTATTTAAACATGTATCAACAAAGAAACAATGTCACGATTAATAGTTCAAATTAACTAACAAAAATATCATCAATATTTGAATAGAATGTTTTTAGTTTATCTTGAATTCAATTTGATTTATCTTTAATATTTTAATACTAACTTTTATGAAAATGACTTATTGTTCACTAACCTTAACTCACTGTTTTTCAAAAAATATTGACCTAATTTTGTGAATTTAGATAAACTTATTTTATACACAATCTATCAATGTGATATAAGTTTATTTTTAATGGCACTCTAGCTATCACGCAACATGAATATAAAAATATATATTTTGTGATTACTAAATGTAGTTTTTGCCATAATTATTTCCCTTGATTATATATTTGTTGCATAACTGATGTATTTATTTTTATTAATTTTAACTAACTTCAGGTAACTAGCTAGGCTGGGAGATCTTGCCGAGGAAATTAGTGAGAATTATTCGAGGATAATTCGTGTAGAAATCTGCACAAATTAGAATTGCATTGAGTTAAAATTGAGCTTTAATCATAGTCCAACTGTTTTAGCAACTCTCCACTTTTTAACTTATAAAATTCTTATCGCGCATCAGCAGCCTAGACTTCTAGTTGATGCTCAACCAAAACCCGACATTTATAAGGAAGTAATTAGGTTGGAACTGCCGTTCTGACGGATTCGGTTCCTGATGCTCCTCATTTTGACCAGAATTAGGCAGCGCAGTTTGCATGCACATTACGTATTAGGAGCCTACGTGCATCAGTTTTTGCAACCTAATTCGAAGCTTTTGGACTTTGAAAATAGCTCCACTGCACACTTGCAGTTGGCCTCTTTTATTGTAGTATGCCATATAATCTTCTTTGTGGTCTGAAATAGCACATATTCAGGAATTTGATGGAGGTACCATTTCCAATATCAAAATACAAGACAAAGATCCGCAGTCGGTGCACACATTAGACATATGTAAATTTTATTAATAGTCATTAATAGACTGTTAGCTTAATTTTTCTTCTGTTAGATACGTTTCATGTTCATTTAACGTCTTTAGATGAAATTTATTTGTTCAAACGTCTAAAGTCTTTCATCATGGTTCATCAGGGAGTCCGGTATCCGAAACTTAAGGAATTCATGGAAGGGAAAGTCACATGTCTGCAGATCAATGGTCGTTTTGATTCGTCTTCGGTCGGTAGATACAAATACGTACTGAGAAGTGACAGGTTTGGCCATGAAAATCAAGAGCTTAATAGAACATGTAGTGTCGTCAAGTGCCTATGCTGTAAAGAACTAAGACTCTCTTCTACTGTTTCCCTACATTTTGCCATAATGGGATGGCCGTGCACATTGTCAATGAGTAAGGCACAAATATTTGGGGAAGAGGGTTAAAGGAAGTTACTTGGAATATAGCGAAAATTATAAAATCGAATAAAAGGGAACTTGGAGACGTTTCTCGACAGAACAACTTTTGGTACGCCCTGATTGGTAAATACTCGGAGGAGGTCATCAATGGCATTACCTTTTGTGGCTGACTTCGGATATGAATTAATCAGGCTTAGAAATGGGATGGTTTGTTCAGGCTTATCAGGACTGAGATCAATGTGGGGTCAATGAACTGCACTTTAGTAATACATAAGGGGATCATAGGGAGAAAGGAGTGAAAAAAGGTTTAGTTTCACTTTTATTTGAGCAACCACTTTTAATACTGTTAGTCTGAGGAAAGGAATTGGCTTATCAAGACAGGTTTTCTCTGGTTATTTGCATTTATGAAACAAAATTAACGATCGCTTAGAACAGTAAAAGAACCTCGGTTTAGCTTGAAAGAAGTTACCCTGTCAAATACAATTGTAGCACTTGATTGTGATGGATGATGCAAATTGACAACAGTCTACAGTTTCAGCACCATAGATGCTTCGTCTAATGGTCAAAAGAACAAGACGTTTTGACTGTTTATTTCTTTGACAAGTTTGAAGATGAGAGGTGTTGAAGAGACCTTAAACAAGTAAGAGTCCATAGAGTGCTTGTGCCTCGTTGCTATTTCACTATCTTTGACTACTGAGCGTAACTTTATGCAATTTTGCACAGTCAAACAGATAAACAAATCCTAATAAGAACTAAGAATAAATTGTTAGTGGACTTGTTTCTGGATTAAAGAAATCAACTTTTATTAAGCAGTGAGTCAATAATTTGGGGGGAATAATTTGTTAAAAGTTATGGATTAGGGAATTAATTGTTACTTCTCTCAGAATTTTAAAACTAGACGCATGGAATTTAAGTTTGATAAGTTTGAGAATAGCATTCATATTTGTTAATTGAAAAAGTAACAGAAAATACTATTTGAGGTTTATACAAACGGAGCATCGATCAGCCTATTCTGCGGCAGCTTCGTAGTTCTTTCAAGGGAACAGTGGCATTCACCTGACTACTTAGAACGCCAGTATTTTTCCTCTAAAATTCCTCAGACACAGAAATCTGCGCTTCCAGATTAGTTGGAGGCTTCAGTCACGGCAGTTCGACATTTTGTTCAATATACCTTCACCATAACCTTTATTCCATGATATCTGGAATATTTATTTATTTATTTCAAATGGCAGGCGTTATGATAGGTATCATTAGCCCTTTAGTTGACTTCGGGCTTCACAGAAAGGAAGACGAACATCCAAGTGGTAAAAAGTCGAGAGGGGGACAGAATAATGATTCACAGACGTAAAAGAGACAGACAGACACAAAGGTAGAAAAAAGGTAAGTACTGTGAAAGTAATCGAATATGACATACAGTGGGGTGATGGTAGTTTGAAGTCCGAAGTCAACTGCCGATTAATAGACTTTTTCGCCGCATGAGTTTACGTTGCCCAGGGTGCACCACGTGGAGGTAAGTCTATCGCACACCCCATATCTGGAATATAATGACTCGAAAGAAGCTCTTGGAACTTCCCAATCTAGAAAATTAGAACAGTATAATCATTCTGACTATTCTGCACAAGCCTTCAACTCCTAATATTGACCAATTAACACTATTGTGAAATTTATGCATTTCTCTGTCGAAGTTCATCTTAACGTTCTATCGGCTATTGAAGTATTAATCTTCAAGAGAAATATTTCCAAATAGCTATTTCGATTATTCATTTTTCTTATCCTTTTTTAACAGCGGTGAGGAAATGATCAAATCAAAACTCAAATGGTACGATAATTCCAGAGACGAGTCCCACCGCGACCATTATTCATAATTACACATGATTTGAAGATGGGAGGAATGAGATGGAGATAAAATGAATAGGTATATTCAATGAGCCGGAAAAAGAATTGAAATCCATGATGATTCTTCGTATCTTCTGTCTTCGCCGAAATATTTCTCAAGTTGACTTTTAGTCGCCCATGTCGTAGAGCTATTCTTGAGATGGCATCTGCCCATCACGGCTGCCGTTCCACATACATCTTAGCACAACCGATATATCCTTCGACAGTAACCTTTTGAGTATGAACAGTGCTATTNGCATAAGAGCGCGAAAAAAACAGAGAAAACTACAATAAAACTATTTGCAGGAAAATTAGCAACAACAAGACATACCATGACGATCATCCATGCCACAACCAAAGATGGTTTAAAACGCAGCTAGGTCAAAGCAAACTGATAAACAAATTATCATCAAAATAAGCTATTTAAAATAATATATTTAAAACATTAGGGAATACTAAATAAGTTGAAGAAATTATAATGAAAATGACGTTTAAATTATTTAACATACAAAATGATCAACATTTTCCCATCCATTTGATTGTGTACTTCAGAGTTCTTATTATTTGCATTTGCATTATAATATTTCTTTGCCTAACCTTAGTATTAAAAGAGCTTGACAAAGAGAGTAATCACAATATGGATAATGAGCGGATAGTGTAAATGACTAGTTATCTGGTCCACTTTCGTAATTTTAGTAGCTTAATATAAAAACGCATCTTGCTAAATTTTGCCATCCTTACTTAATCAGGAACTAACTGTTAAGGAGTTGCTTAAAGGCACATACTGCTTAATGTACAATTTTAGCGTTTTTTTTAAATTCAACAAGTTCCAACATGCTCTACTGTGTAACTTGTTACATCGAGCTTAATTGAAACATCAACATATATCAAGATGATACTGTGAAAATTCAATGTCTTCTACATATGTGATAAACTTAGGATATTACTTATAGTGTAGCGGATTGCTACCTTAGTAAAGCCTGACTGACTCAGGAATCTCTATGGCAAATTCTCCAACATCTAGCTAGTCTCCCAGAACCAGCTAAGCTATTGCCCAGCTTGAAAAGGAAACAGACGTGTAGCACGGAGCACGTTTATTCAATACGCATATCGCGGCTAAAATGTTTACAGGAGGGAAACCAGTCATACAGCATGACGGATTTGCTAAAACAAACGATGGCCCTTGAGCTGCTATTGGCTGCGTGCTCTTGTCCTCAATCCGTACGCGAAGTTGTACGGCCGCACCTTAAGACTATGTGTACGCGCATGCGATGACGTGTCCCACAATGGCAAATAAGTATACAAATAAGAGATAAACGTAGAGCATTAGTTAACAAACAACACATTGACCTCTGGTGTGGAATCTATAGCTAGTAATAATATTTTTATAACAGCGTCTATTTTTAAATCAGGTTTTAGTGCAACCATTTGTTTATAGATAACTATATGATTGCCGACCACATCGGCTATTAATTTTAATTAAAAACTTTATTGTATAAATCTTATTTATTTATCAACAATTTTGATATTTTTTAGTGATATGAGTAGTATTATCGAAATTCTTGCATTCGGTTCGATCCAAATTATTGTTGCGAAAATCACAATTAAAAGAAGAAATGCTAATGCTTATTTTTGGCCCTCTGATTTATTCATGTTTTCTTTCTTATGCCTTTATCCACATTCAGGTGCCCTATCTTGATATTAATTAATAACTTTGATTTGCAGGAAAAAAGCAATTATTAATTTAGCCTTTTCTGCTCTGTTTTATGTTATCACGGTTTTGCTAAAGTACTTTTAATACATTCTAGGATTGATTGGCCTATTAAAGGGTTACTTTCCGCCTATATGTTCACATATTTTTATTCGTGCCGTACTCATAAAAAATGGCTAAGAAGAAAGATTCGAAGAAATGTAGGATTATTTTATTTTTTTCTCACCCAATTTTAGACAAAAACGATAAAGCAGATTCCCCTTCTGGCGATGACGAAAGCTCCGCCAGCGAGGTACCTCGAATTATATTTCCCATTTAATTTATTTCTGTTTAGTCTACTGAATCTCAGTATACGAAACCGGATTTAACTAGCTATGTTGATAGGCTTTCATCTCCTCGCCCGGAAATACGAAAGAAGCAGTTATTACTGATTCAAAAAGAACTTCGTTCTAATTATCCCGCCTTTTCTGATGATTGGAACTATAAAGAAACGCTTCTATCTGGCATAGAGTCGATCTTAAAGAAGGGTAAACTGAGCGAACAGGTCGAGGCCCTTCGGTGTCTCAGTATATATTTTACTCAGATCCCTTATTCGGAAAATCAAGCTATAGGAGAGCGCTTCCAAGAGTTTTTTGAGACGACACTCTGCGATTCAACAAAACCAGGGGAGTTGAGAGCTGCGTGTGCTACTACTGTTGCTTGGTTACATTATATAAGTGAGCCCATGGGTCTTCCGTATATTAAAAATTTAATGGAGAAATTATCAAATGTATTTAAAAGTGCCTGTCTCAAGGGTGATGGAATGCCCCCGGACTTTCCAAAGGCGCAGATAGATTTACATAAAGATTGCCTCTTTGCTTGGGGTCTTTTATTTACTTCTCTTCCCTCTCTTGATGCTGATGAAGTCGGAAGGAATATTATTTGCCATCTCGTATCTCTTCTTCAGTCTAAATATATGGTGGTTCGTATGGCTGCATGTGACGTTGTGGCTCTTGTATATGAACGAATCCGCGAAGAAACGAAGGAAAGTTTTAAGGGATCTTACTACGAGACCCTCCTTCAGGTTCTTGACGATCTTAGTTTCGGTTCGAATAAATACACATCTAAGGCTGATGCCAAGAAACAGCGTTCGAATTTTCGAGATCTATTTAGATTCCTTCAAAATCATGAGACTCCCACATTGAAGGTCAAACTTGCCTCCGAGAATCTCAACCTTGATACCTATCAAAAGGTATTCACCTATCAGGCTTATTGCCATCTCTTGACTCTTGGAATCAACCTCCATTTACAGGAAAACATGCTTTTGCGTCAATTTTTCGATTTAGGTCTTCCACTTCCACCGATTCAGCAGAACCAACGTGTTCGTGCTGCCGATAAAAGAATGAGGAGCTTGATGAATGAACAGGCCTCAAAAGACCGAAAGAAGGAGTTGAGTAAGAAACGAGGCAAGAAGGCTGAATTTCTCCTTGAGGACTCCTGATTGTATTTTATTTATTCTCATTGAAAATACTTGCCAATAGCCTCTTCTCTTTCTATCCCATTTCTTTAGAAAAGCTGTCATTTCTTGTTCATCATTTGATGGTCTGTATGAAAAGCACGTCCTAAATAGGTAACATTTTATCGCTCATACTTCTTAGTCTTCTTATCTTTTACTTATTAACTATTGTTTGTGAATGCGATTGCATTTGCCTGTGCTGTGCTGTGCTATAGAACTGGCCTTTGCACTCTGCATTTTGTTTGGCAATTGTAGTGCTGTTCTCTCTCTCTGGATTGTTGTGAGCTGGCTGTAGTAATGAATATTCGTAATTTAATGTGTCAGGGTGTATAATATGGTCAGGTGATGAAGTACTTTGATTTATTATGCAAGTGGTTGGTAATGTTTGCTTTTTGTTACTCCAGGACTCTACTTTTAACTCGGCAATCGCCCAGAGAATTAAATTGGGACGTGGAGGTGGCTGGAATAGAGTTATGCGGATGCCAGTGTAGTCAAAATTGGGCCTCAGGGTTGATTGTACTCGGGCATGTTTAGCAAAACTTTCCGAAAAACAAAGTCAGTAAAGACGGCTTGCAACTCTGTCCGATAGAGGATGCTTCTGAAAAATGTTCTTCAACCAAAAAAGAAAAGCAGGGTAGAACTTAGTCAGAAGATATCTCTTCTAGGATTTTCAAATATGTCATCATCATTATTCATATTCCACTTAGATCGTGTGGGTGAGACGAGGCTTGCATCCAATTTGCTGTTTTTTTTCGGCTCAGTACTTACAAAATGCAGTTAAAAGCTGATTAGTGTTTTTGTCCTGTTTACCCGCTCTGCACTCTATCTGCCTTTTCAAGTCAGCACTTGAAATTCACAAATTAAACGTATTACCTCATTCCCGCAACAGAAATCACTACAGGGGCTTTCTCTATTCCGCACAGGCTAGTAATAAGTACTTTTGCGCATTATTAGAAAGTAGCCTATCGCGCAAATTCTTAATTAAGTATCTGCGTAGTGCGCACTAACCAAATTTTGCTATCATGACATTCTCATATGCTAGTTCCATCAACGCATTTACCATGCAAGTGAAGATATGATTCTTGAGTGCAAAAGAGCGGTTTTCTACTAGTTCCTTCAACCGATGCAGTGTCACGTGCAAGTTGTTCCGGCTGTTGTCAACTGATCAGGTCAAGGTGAATGTGCTGGTTTGTTGAAAGTAAACCCTGGTGTGCTTTTGTAAACAGGAATCGGGCTGGCGGCTTCAAAGCCAGGCTCCTCATCTTTCTCACCTTTTATAAAATGAAACGAATGCTTTTAAAGATTCCTAGGTCGAAATCAATGTTTGAACAGTACTATCGTTTGACCTGATTCAATAAAAGTGCAGTAACTAAGTTAAAGGCCTTTTTATTAGTTGGTCATAGAGTGCAATATTTAATTACTCTGGCATTGAATTACTCGATTTCAGACATCTTTTAACTTCATAATAGAAAGTACAATACCACTATTGCTTTGGTTAATTTGTAAATAAATTGTAACGCCTTGATTTCTGTTTGGAATGAGAAAGAATTCGACAAAGAACAGTACATGGAGAATGATTCGACACTGCTGCGTGTAACGATAAGTAATAGCATGTTTCCAACACATTTCACTTAAATAACAGATATTAACAACAGGAAATGCAATTCCCTATCCACGGCAAGTGAAGTGAAAATGTAGAGACATAGAATTTGGGAATCCAAATATAGAGATGACATTTAATTAAAGTTTCATTATAAAAGTTGATATTTTAATCATCTCAAGATCCACAATGTTGTTGAGCAACAATAGTTTTAGTGAATTAAATGGCTATCTGCACGAGGACGGCTAATTTCATGGGATGTCCTTCTTACGTAACTCAATTTGAAAATTCTGCAATATTTTATTGGATTATCATATTACCTTGTTAATGTCAAAAAATAAATGTTACAGTTTGGGTAATAAAGATCCATTTCCAAATGGAACAAATTGTTTCTACTTATAAATATTAAGTACACATTACAAACTATTGCGCGTTTGTGATGGCACCCGCCTGGAACTGCGTAACTGGATTTACCCTCTCGGAAGGGAGTAAATGGCAAAAATGTTGAATTTTCAAATCATTATAAATTTTGTCTGTTGCTAATAAGTGGAGGGGCACTTGCAGTAAGTATCTTTTCCTAACCATTTTATGATATGTAACTTCCTCCTCTCCCGAAAAGAGGCTGCTTAGCATTCATAAATAGTAAGAAATGTGGGCAAATGATAACTAACAAATCACATTTTTTTTTCTCCTTAAGCTGAAGAGTCTCACACCTCGCCGACCAAATGGCTCTCCATTCTTTACCAAATTGAAAAACAAATCGTGAGATAATAGCCTGTTCGACTAGCATAATGTGCCTACCATTTAATTACTATAAATAGAATTTAAGAAATCATTGTTTTAGTCGTTAAAAAACATCTGGATACAAAAATCGGCAAAATAATTCAATAGGGAGTGGGAGGGAAGAGAGGGGTGGAGGGAACGAGACAAAAATTAAGAAGAAGACGGGATTTCATGAGATATTTACTTCGGTTAATCTCATTCTATTCAGATCACACGCTCATTACATAACCCTTTCGAAAGTTCTAATTCCATTTTCACGGCAATCAGAGAATGCGCCAGTGCTTTCCTCCCCCACCACCTCCAAATGGTTGGCCAAGACTAACTGATGTGCCCTTTATAAAGCAGGGCTTCTCCCGTATTTGATTTAATGTGAACTCAAAATAAAGCAACCGACCTACTTTAAATATGACAACACACATGAAGCAGAAGTTTTCGTACAGTGATTTTTCAACCATAAAATATTAATCTTTGATAGTAATGAAAATAATTGCTCTCATTCATTCCGTCAGTTTCAATTCCGATTATGGGCAGAATTCACAGCATGTCCTCACCTCAACATTTCCTGAACAGAGGTGTGAGATAGACTTACCTCCACATGGGGCATCCTGGGCATCGTATACTCATACCGCACAAAGTCCATTAACCGGCAGTTGACCTCTGGTTTTAACTACCATGACCCCACTGTATGCCATAGTCGACCACTTTCACAGTACTCACCTCACCTTTTTTCTACCTTTGTGTCTGTCTTTTTTACGTCTCTAAAACACTCTTCTGTTCACCCTCCCCTCTCGACTTTTTTTCGATTTGATGTTCCTCACCCTCTGTGAAGCCTGAAGTCAACCAAAGGGCTAATGATAACTATCATAAAGCCTGTCATTTGATATAAATAAATACATTTCCTGAACAAAATATTGATTTTTCGATAAACTTGCTTCACGATAGTTATAAACAGCATAAATTAGAAGGAATCTAATCACTTGATACAGCTGAACGTGATGATTTTATTGCAGGCTTAGAAGTAAGTAATATTTCGCCAGTTGAACATGTGGCACGACATCTCACATGGTTGGATGGTGATCAGGTCGGTGCACACCCAGTGAGGGGGAGGAATTGGAAAAGCTCGGCAGGAAGACTCGATTTGTTGCCCCTTACAAGCAAAATAAGTGCTGTGAAAAGGTTTGTTCTCTGATTAATTTTAAGATCAGTTGGCTTGTGACTTAACAGGGTTACCGGCATTCAAAAGGACATTGAACGTGGCACCGCCTCTTTCACGAATTTGACAACTTATAAATATTCTCCTGCATACAATTAACAATGACTAGATAAAACCAATCTGGGCAACACTTTCTCTGTGGCTTAACGCCATAAGAGAGCAAGCTTTGACGAATGATTTAATTGCATCAAACTTGAAGTATGGAAATAAGTAGAAAATTTAAAAACTTTTAAGACTTAAACACATTCCATATATTTCAAATATGACCAAATTCCAAAATGTAAATCAGAATACTAAATTGGTCTCAGATTTGGTTTAGTTCTTTTTCCGAAAGGGACTTTACGATACGCGAATAGTAGTAGCAATTCAGCAAAGGTTCATTTTAAATCTTAGAAATATAACGTAGGAAAATAACATATTGCCATTATCAAAAGTGAGTTTGAATTTAAATACTTACTCACAGTCGCCTCCCGACTGACTTCTACGTTCGTCAGGTTATCCACTTTTACACAGAGGATATAGAACCAAATTTTCGAGCCTCTAAATTGGCAACCAACATCCTGGAACGTGGATCCATGTCCATGTGATTATTACCGCAGCTCTAGTCAAATTCACTCATGACTGATATTGTTGACATGTCTTCTTTTCCCATTTTTATTTCTCGCTTTATCAGCATATTCATCTTTTGTTTACATCATATGATTATCGAATGTTCGTGCATTATGTCAAATTATTTCGAATCATAGACGCAATATTGAGTGAGAGACAATATATTTTGTTTGGCATCTGTAATAAATTTAAAGTAAATGCCGCGCAAATTCGAGGAGGTTTAACAAATATTCACATTTAAACATTCCAGTACGTTTAGTTGCAAAATTCATATTGCAGACAAGCATAAGTTAAAAGCGAAATACTTCATACATAGCAGAAACTACAATGTATTTTTGTTGTTTAAATAGTCAGTCGGATGCACAGCTTTCAAAGTTCATGACATTGAAAAATTACTTTTTTTTCATGGATTTGAAAATTTTTCCCTTTTAAATTGTAATATTTATTGCCATATGAATATACGAAAGTTTAAATACTGCTTTTTTAAATAAAATCACCTTTAAAGGGAATTTTGAAGCTTAAATTAAGTAAATTACTTAAATTTGAGATTTGAATTTAAGATATATGAACTTATTATGAATATCGACATTACTTTAGATGCTAATTAACTGGAATATTATTAATAACCTTCTCTATAACTCGAGTTGACGCTGTTGTGATCAAAATTTTCGTCGGTAAGCAAGTCAAAATGGGTTTACTGGAATATCCACCAAATGGGTGAAATACTGTGGCTTTTGTTGATCTTTTAAGGATCTTCGCTTCAATTACATCTTGTATGAT